ATGAAAATATTAAGAAGCAAGCTGTGTGCTTCTGGAGTTGTAATGTTTACACAATCTAAACACCAAGGACAGTATTAATGTTACATCAGCAATAAAACTTACCTGAAGGTCTCCTGAACAGAGCTAGAAATCCCATTGTTAAATACTTTATAATCAAGCTCAGGGCTTTCGCTCTTGTTATATCAGCAGCTTTCCTGCAAAATATGTACAAATAAAGAGGTGATTTTCTTTCACCAGTTGTGACTGAGTCAAGTCCTTTTCTGAGTCTGAGGTCTTGAGGAGATGGGGAGAGATTGGCAAGCTGAGTGTGAAGAGGGAAAAGGGCACCTGGGGGCGGGCGATGAGCAAATGTCCCAGAACCAGACATGGGAGGCAGTAAAGGCAGATCTTGGATGAAAAAGAAATTACTGCCATATTCAAAATTTAGACTCTGGTGAGGCAAAGCAAAGCAAGACTCTGGAACAGTGGGCTTGGCAGCCAGGAACTTCCCTCTGACAGGACAGATCGACTCTTTACCTTATATGGACTGCTTTGTCAGAAGGAGGAAATCAGAGGCTGAGAAGACACTTCCTGTTCAACTGAAACCCTTAGAGCAGACGCACAGGCACACAGTCAAAGACCTCCAGGCTACAGCATCTCTCCCCCGAGACACTTGCTGTCTCTCACCAGGACTCAGACCTCTTCCTGTACAAAATGATGCAATGTTACCAGGTACAACGGTCACTTTGCAAGATAAAGTCTGAGTTAGCACTAAGGGAAGCTGATCAAGAGGGCCTGGTGATATTGCAGAGGAAGTTTGGTCTCTGTCCCCTTTACCTGCAGAGAAGACCCCAATTTGGTTTCCTATCATGAGGAAGCTGCTGATCTGCACGGCAGAGGTATTCTACTTTTCATAGTGAAGTACACACACAGAGCTGTACAACACACACACACACACCCTGAATGTCAAATTAAACCTCAGGAAAAGAACATAGCACAATTACCTCCTGAACCAGAGTACAGGTATTAGGGATAGATTCCAGTTATTTGAAGCCTGAGACATTTACAATTGAAGGGCTCTTCCTTAAAGAAAAATGAGGTTATAAAAGCAAATTCAAAAGCAATTGCCAAAGCGAATATCTATTTAGAATGATAAAAAAGAATCAAAAGAAGCAGTTTTTAAAAGCTAGAAAATGCCACACACATTACCAAATCTATAAAAATACATAGCTTACATGAACATATTTTTCTTATAGCTTTATTTGAGGGGTAGGAGCAAATATTTTAATCATCTCTAGGTCAGATTACATATATGTTTATCAACTTTCCATAGAATAAAAGATGACTCAGATTTTCTCTGTGATGGTTTAAACGTTTTATTATTGACAATTAGAAAGGATTTACCTTCATCAGTTGAAGTCAAAATATTTGGGAAAAATTATCTTTATAACTCATTACTGATAACATTATATATATTTAGCATCGTCGTTAAACTCAGAGGGAAAGTCTTCACCAAGATTCTTTTGTAACTGAACTGTAAGATTTTGCACAGGATCGGATCTCAAATGCTCTTTGAAACTGAGGTCCCTGTGGATCATGTTTCTCCGATAAGCCCCACAAATGGCTCTGATGCTTAGATTCATTCATCTCTTTCTGCAGCTGCTTTGGAGGAGACTAAATTCTTTCTAAATATTTTTTTCACAGGGGATCTTGAAGCCCTCAAAAAAGAAACCTTTGTGCTAAAGGAAGGTATTGAATACAGAGTCAAAATCAACTTCAAAGTAAGTATCTTTCCCTGTGTATTTCTACAGGGTTTTCATCATCCCTATAATCAACTACTAAATTCCTTGCATTATCACATTGGCATATTTTTTGTTTGTCTCCCACTCTATCTCCTGACCTGGGTCTGGAAAGTTCTCTTCTCAGCTCTGAGCCCTACCTGTATAGACCCACCCTAGCTTCATGCCTTTTTGTAGTCAGGATGCTTCGAAGCCAAAGGGTCCCTCACTCTGTGAACTCCCAACACACCCATGAGCTGCATGCTGCTACACACTGTACTACTTGTGACATTTCTTCCTTGCGCCACCTAAGCTCCTTGTGGCAGGGTGAAATTGTATACCCTTTCTTTCCAATATTTCACACAAAGCTCTCTAAATGGTATCTATAATGAGAAAAAAAGACAAATAAATGGATCAACAGATAGGAAAATGGAATAGATAAAGCCTTAGCTCTAATGGCTCAATGATGAGACAAATCTAGAGAGTGTTTTCTTTGCTAAATATCTGAAAATTGCCATTGCAGTTGCAGAGCACGTGACCAAGTATGAGCAAAACTAAATAAGGGATGAACTGACACCTAACGAATAGGGCATAAATTCCAACGAGGAACCACAAACACCAGAAAAATAGCCTTGACTCTGAAAACAAATAAGTCAGAAATGCACTGTTTGGCTTCATAGTCTGTGTTTGCCTTGGCTGCCCCGTATTCCCCACTCAGTCATATTCTCCAGGGACTGGGCTCCACCAAGACTTCATCTGCTCTCTCTCCTTGCATTCTGGTCCTTTCTTTCCCCTAGGTACAGGATACTATTCAGGGTGGATGAAGATTACTCTCCACCAATACAAATAGGCCTGAGAATTATTTCATTTGGGAAATATTTTTCTTGACCTGTACTCTGTAATGGGCACTGAACTGTGGATTTCTGTTTCCTGTCATATTATTTATTACTAGAGCACCCAGGGGTTTGATAAAGCATTGTATTCAAAACACCTAGAATGAGTTACACATCAGTGCAATTTTCAATCATGTATGCTATCGCGTTG